AAAATTAATGAAAATGAATTTGGTTTAGTGTAAATGGTTTGGCAAATATTTGGCTCTCTGACGTGGATTGCTAATATTTTCAACAACCTAGTAGTAGAAGCAGCAAGAAATTGACTAACAATACCGATCAGCAAATGTGTGTCGGAGATACTTTGTCTACTATTAAAGCTTGACAGTCATAACATTGTTTCATTTGGAGACACTGCGTTGAGAATGAAAGTAGTTATGATTCAATCTATGTTTAATTTTTTCATGAAAATTTTTGAAAAACAGTTATTTTGTAGGGGATTAAATGTATATAGTTATTATAAACAGTTAACATTTTTAATTGTTAATTAGTTCTATTATTAAATTTAATATCTGTTTAAATTTAATCTATTATTAATACTACTACTTCTTTGCTTCATTTCCCTCTTTCCTTTTCGCATTAGCACGAAATTGTTACGTTTGTTTGGTTAATAAAACAAAATTATTTTCATTCGTCTTAAATTGTCTAATTTATAATTCGACAACAAAAGCGAAATAATAATAAATCTAACTTTCCTCAAAAATTGGTGAAATCCGAAGTGATTTGAACAAAGAAAATTCGACGTGATTTGAACAAAGAAATTCCGACGTGATTTGAACAACCAAATCCGACGTGGAAAAAAAACGAAGGTCCACGTGGTTAGATAAAAACGAAATCATCAATTCAATCAACAAAATGTTTCAACCAAATGATGACCCGATCGCCATATTACCTCTTTTCAAGAAAACAGCGTCAACAGATTGGTTCGAGAATGCCGAAGTGCAATTTCAATTGCGAAACGTGTTATGTAAAAAAAACAAAATTCTATCACGTAATAAACTCCCTGCCGGTAAATGTAGTCTCAAATAAGTCACTATTAGTGCAAAGAGGAACAGATTACGACGCTCTAGAAGCAGAGTTTTTATCAACATTTAAACAAACCAAACTAGAGCAATTTCTACAAATATTGCAGTCATCAATTTCACAGGTTATTGTTGCTCAAAAGAATTTTGACTTGCAACAACTGGGAAATTTAGTTGTAGAAAAGCATCTAAAAAATGACACCACAAACTACAGTGCAAACGTATCAATGAATGTTGAGAACACCAACCCCGAATCGATCGACTGGAGAACCGATAAAACTGTTTTGACAAACGATTCTTAAGGTTTTGTGCAAAAGATTCACATCAATGAACCACCAGCAATCAGAATAGCAAAATGCTGAGCAGAATGTTAACATCTTATCAGCAAATTCACACATAAACGATCCTCTCCTTTCAGTTCTCTCTTTTCCTTTTCCTGTTCAACCGGAGCAGCAACAAGATCACCACAAAAAGAGAAAAACAGAGTATATAGTTCATCGTCCTCATACCCACCTCATTCTAGAAATCGTCTGAAGCTGAACAGAAATTTGCATGAGAGGTCAGAACAAGATTCGAACCAACAATTAAAGCTTCAACTGCGTTAACAGCAACAACGTCATCACCAACAACAACATCATCACTAACAACAACATCAACATCTCAAGAAACAAGATAAATGTCAGATAGGTTTTTTAATATTTAATTTATTGTTAATCAAGATTTCGTGGCCTGTTTCATTCATTGGCAAATTGTTACTTTTTCAAATTTGTCGATAATTAATAACAATATTTTACCAAACATTTCAAATAATTTTTTGACACGTTATTGTGGCAAGTTTGCAAAGGTAGAAAAAGACTGTTAATGCATCAGAGGTCTTATAAAACTTTCAAGCCCGTGATTCCTAAAGTGAATCAAACGACAGTGACAACAGCAGCCAAACAGCATTACATACGTCAATTTTCTTTCGATTACGCTTCAGCCGGTACTTTACAAAATCTTTTTAACTCTAATAAAATCAAGACTCTATATCTTCCTCAGCACTCTACAAAATCAACAACTCTACAAAAACAGCCGGTACTCTATAAAATCAGCGTACAATCGTTTTCACACTAATGGATCCAAAAAAGGCGTTTGGAGAAGTAAGCCATCACATCATCACCTCGATCCTAAAATATCATCATGTTCCGCAGTCATTTCACAATTTAATATCATCAATCTATTACGGATACAGTATTTCACTATCAGTTGGCGATAAACTAACGCAAGCCATACAAGTTAGAAAAGGCGTACTTCAAGGTGATCCTTGTTTACCACTACCTTTTAAAATTAGTAACCCCTTTGTGAAAGTTCTGGACAGTGAAGAACATAAATAAAAAAAACTATCTGTGGGGTCCAACTTCTGACTTAAACGCAAGATCATGATTTGAATCAAGCCTAGTGCAATTGGTCAGAGGAGAGTTGATAACTGATGCCGTTTGGAATAAAGAAAAAAGAGGGTATATATGAACATTTTTTGCCGCGATTGGCGATTGATGATATACAAATTTCTAATGTTAAGATTAACCAATCTTTTACTTATCTGGGCAAACTTTACGACGATGAATGCAAGGATTCTAAAACAAAAAGCGAGATACAGTTTAAAGTCGTTCAGCTGTTGAAGACGACTTTAAAATTGGAAGTGGATTGTTGATTTGAATCAAGCCTAGTGCAGAGATGAAGGTGAGAGTTGATAAATGCTGCTTGTTTGAGATGAGGGAAAAAGATGGTATATATGAACAATTTTTACAGTGATTGAAAGTTGAATCATAATCCTAATGTGTAGATTGACCAACCTTCCACTTTTCTGGGCAAACTTTACTACGCTGATCGCAAGGATTCTAAAGCAAAAAGCAAGATACAGTCTAAAGTCGTTCAGCTGGTGAGAACGACTTTACAATTGAAAGTAGACTATCAGCATAAATTGCAGATTTTAAAACAATTCATACTAACACAACTGAACTTTGAACTCTGCAGTAACAGTTTTTCGCTGACATAGGTATCAGAAATTGGCTAGATATGCAAATAAGTGGCTGTTAGCCGAATTTTTTTCAATGCCAACCGTAATGAGGGGTCCTAACATCATTTCGATAAAAGATGCCGCAGAAAAAATGAGATTAAAGCTGCGTAATTATTTTAAAACTAGCCACAACAAAGAAATTCAATGTTTATACAAAAAATCGACAATCGATTTTATAAAAGTTGACAATAAATGTTTGAAACTAGTTAGATAAGAAAAGAACTGAAGCATGCTTAATTCATTTAAATCTATTGCTGCAGAGTCAGGGTTCAATAATCTCAAATATAAAAAATTTCATCAAAGCTAACAACATCTCGCGTTGGTCAAAAACAACGGAAAATCTTGATGGAGTCCTTTAAAAATTTGCTTGAAAGAACTTGGTCCAGCAATTACCAATAATTGCCAATGCAAATTCGTTTGGATGGTAAAAAACATCATACCCTCTAAGCCCTCTCTGCGGCTCTTGACAAACAAGCATGTGGTCTCGAATTGCAGCTCCCTATCTGCTCTAGCAGACACAACAAAATATTAAACGTGATCATCAGGGGGTTGAAGTTATGCGCTCCTGCCAGTTGCCAAATATTTGCAGATTTATAATCAGATGATGTTTACTGTTCAACACCTTACGACCTGACGTCATTATCTTTCATGGACACAAAATAGAGTTTCTTGAGTTGACTGTCTGCCACGAAACCAACCTAAAATTCTTCAGGCAATACAATAGTAACAAATATTTTGGCAAATTGTACCTTTGTTTAAATGATAATTAATTACAAAAACTGTTCAATAATCGTAAACGCTTTTGAAATATCACCGATTGGTTTTTATGATAATTTTAATCTATCTTTATTTGAAATTTTTTGGCCGATATTTTAACTTTAACATTAGTTAGGTTATCATATGTCATTTATTGTGACAGAAACATGTTATAACATCAATTTTAAAATATATTACCGCTTTGCACTTGTCTACGCAATGAGCAAAATGTGGTCTATTCTTTTTGTTTTTATATTATTTTATTCAATTTTTAATAAAATTATCATTTTTAATAATTTTAAATTAATTTTATTATTGTATGTTTTTCTTTTTGTGAAAATAAAAGATGTCTCCATTATTATTATTATTGTTATGAAGTTAGATGGGTCGTTTGCGATGATAATTAATAATATAATAGTAGTAGTAGTAGTAGTAGTAGTAGTAGTAGTAGTAGTAATAATAATAATAATAATAATAATAATAATAATAATAATGCGACCCATATAATTTCAGAGCCAAAACAAGAGAATTTATAAGTTTCTAAAATCAGACAATTTAATAATCAAAACATTCAGAAATAATTTTATTTGAAGATGGATGGTTTGACCGAACACACCCACTTTACGATTTGGTAATTGTCTACGAACAGTTCCTTCCAAAGTTGACCCTCGACGACTAACCAATTCCCTAAATCGAACTTGACGGACATTTTGTATATCTGGGCAAAATCTTCGATTTTGAAGGTAACAACACCAAAACCAAAAAGTTGTTGACTAGTAAACTGAAAAATTATTTTTTAGTAATTGGTAAAAATAGTAGCATAGTAAAAATTTCAAATTTTGAAAAAATTTATTCTATTGCAATTGGCATTTGAGCTTTGGACTTACCACATCTCGTTAACCTGAATTAGTAATTGCCTTGAAATTTTGGTGATAGAAGCGGTTAGAACACGGCCAATCAATAGTTGTGTGCCAAGGAAGCTTGTCGCTCCTCTTCATATTTAGTGGATTAGGTGTAAGATCTTTTAAACATTTTGCAAAGTCATTCAGAATTAATCTTTGTAGTTATTTAAAAATCCAACGGCAACAAAGAAATAAAATATTTGTGGAGTGAATCGTCCGACAGTTATGTCAAAATCGACAATATGGTTCCCGACTCAAACAAAATCAAGCCTACTTTTGAGTCATTAAAGATACAGTAGCAGACTGAAGAAGTTGAGCATGAGCGCTTGACATTTCTCCGTTGTCAAGGAACAATAATATGCAAAATTAAAAATCACATTCCAGCAGCCATTGTGAACAGTTCATTAAGAAGACGCATGGATGTTCACAGAACATCTCTTGCAATTAGTGTTCTAAAATTAACAGACGAAGTGCCCATTGATCTCAGATGTATTAAGCTCTCATTAAATTACATTTACACAACATCTTCCAATCCAAATAATTCCTCCTATCACTTCATATTTCCTTCAATATACAAAGTTCTCTTCGATAAAAGACCTAAGGTTACTAAACCGTTTAACCTACGCATACTTAAACAATCAAACTATATAATATTAACGTAATTGAGAAGCCATCACAAATTATTCCCAACTGGCGTCTACATCAAGCTGAAGTCAACACTAGTTTAACTAAATTCAACAAAATGACAGATCAAAACATTATCAAAATAATGAATTTTTGCAGAAACATAAAAACTCTACGATCTACGATATATATTGATGGGTCTAAATTGCAAGAATCAACAACATCAGCAGCATAAATAAATGGCTATGCAATTAAACAACACTTACCAGACAATGTGTCAATTTACACTGCAAAATTATATGCAATAAATTTAGCTCTAGATTTCCTAAATTCGGAGACAAATAAAAGTTTTGTCGTAATAACAGATGTTATGTGCAATATGTCATACATAATGTCATGTGCAACTACCATCAATCAGTACGAAACAAAAAATGATTTTTTTTCAGAATAATCAAAGCAAAAATTTATTTTATGATGCAAAACCAATGTGACATTAAATTCTTTTAAATTCCAAGTCACACCGGAATATTAGGTAATAAAAAAGTTGATGCTCTAGCGCTAGAAGCCTAATGTCAATTAATATCAGACATACCCACTCCTGATTCAGACTTTAAGTCGGTAATAAATGATTATGTACATACTTTATGGCAAAGCAAATGGAACCTAGCTAACACATTTCTTTGATAAATATACCCATATCCGTACTAAGAAATACATAAATATGCAATAATCGATTTGAACTCCGTGAAGTGCCGTTAAAGCATCTATAGAGCAACAACATACCAGCAGCGCGTGTTGATTATTGGTCGAGACACACTGCGTGCCTTTCAGAAGTTCTGTTTAAATTCGTTCGAAAAAGTCTAATCCAGCAACTTTAGACAAATATTATCCAGGTGGGGAATGTTTTTTGGCATAATGTCCGTTATGCAGTGTTTGCCCAACCAAAAAACATCGTGGAAATTATTGTTCACAACATAATGCAGTGAAGCCATTCTTTCAACAATCAACCAAAAGTCGGTAACATTTGAATTATAAACCAAATCAGGATCATTGACTGTAAAAGGACGACTAGCAAATTAATGTTTGAAAAACTATTTCTGTCAATCCAATCTAACGACAGAACCGATCGTTTTACTTTAAATAAATAGGGCGACAGCTCTGATGAAGTAATGATCAGAATAAATACAACTAATGACGCATCATGAATGTGTGTGTAAGTTCACTAAGTCAATTTCAAACTTGAAACAAATTAATAGTTCCTGTGATTTTTTGATATAAATATCAAAACCACCAGCTATTAAAAAAATCGACACAAATCCGATCTGTTGTGCTGCATGCCATACCTGCTAAAAAGAAAGGTGTAGAGTTCTTGAAAAATCTGATAAGCAAACCAAAACTAAACTTGGAACTTAAAAATTTTTCAAAAACAAAAGATAAAAGATTGTGTTCATTGCAATTAATTGTGTTCTTAAGACATGAAACAAAGCCATTGCGTAATGAAATGCTTCTGTATATAATGTTAACAAGAAAAACAGACTTAAGTAGTTAGATTAAGCGATCTCTTCAACTTTTGTTTGTACTGGCAATATATCACGCACTTTGTTATAAATACATCATCTATATAAAATTAGGTTGAGACTGTCATAAATACAATTATTAAGAAATATAACTTCATTTTCAGCTAAAAATGCAGTGACATTTCTTAATAATCTTATATATATATATATATATATATATATATATGTATATGTATATATTGTCGGAAATTTTATAAATGATGAAAACAACTGATGTGAGGTAGGTAATCTCCTCCTCTATCTTTCTCAGAGAATTTTTTATGGTCCGACAATAATTTTTGTGTATATTTTTATCGTGAGTTTGACCAGTCCTGTGTGGCACTGGCTTTTTCGAATTATATGATTTTACTGAGTAACACACGAACGCGTAAAAATATTCGATAACAATTTTTATTAATCGACGGAAGTAAATAAAAAGGAATTGAACTAATGAACTCTATAATAATGTAAAATGTCAATGAACAAACTGGAATACAGGAATTAGAACTTCTTCTTGTTGGGTCTTCGACTTGGGATATGCCAGAATAGGCACTGATTATTCGAAGCTGCCTAACTGGTGAACCCAAGGCCGACTCTTTTTGAGAACTTAAGACGTTTCTGAAACTATGCCAATGAGCATAGAATCACGTATTAAGTCTCTTAGGGACCAGAATAGGCACCGATTATTCGAAGCTGCCTAACTAGTCAACCCAGTTTTACTTCACTTCCACACCCTTCCTTATCAAAGCAAAATTAGATTTTGTTTCGGGTGTTTTTAAAACATAAAAATTTCCAAGGTATGTCCAATTAATAAAAAAAAACTACTAATTAAATTTTAAAATAATTTGTAATAATTTATGACGTCATCTAAATTGCAAAACAAAAAAATCGTCGTCACCTATCGAGTAAATTAACTTGCATCATGCCCCCTATCGAGTGAATAAATTTTGCGTTGAAAATTTTGAAGTATTTTTAGTCAGTATTATTTCATAATTCTGACACTATATATATATATATATATATATTTTTTTACAATATATATATATATATATTTTTTTTTACAATATTTTGGCGTTAATATGTTTGTAGTTCGTGTTTTGAATTTTTCAAAAATTCAAAAAACGAACTACAAACTTATTAACAACTTATTAACGCCAAACATTCGGTAGAATTTATAGAATATTGTAAAAATTATGGTCTATTACCAACATATATATATATATATATATATATATATATATATATATATATATATATATATATATATGTGTGTGTGTGTGTGTGTGTGTGTGTGTGTGTGTGTGTGTGTGTGTGTGTGTGTGTGAGTATAAATTTTTATTTACAAAACGTTGAGGATTATTTGATCAATTTATCAATATAATGATTAATTATAAATGTTTATCATATACTTTCAACTAATAATGAAAAATTTATTTATATAAATACGATTAACAGAAAATATCTAAATTTTCTCACACCAAGTTTTCAATTTTATTTATCAATTCAACTTCCTGAAAATATTTCTATCTACGTTTTAAAATAACCTTATAAAATTTTTATTGAAAAACATTCCCCAATTGATTTTGTTCTAGATTTTCTTTACGTACACGCAAACGAATGCAGCGGGCCGGTTGCAGGTGTTATCAATTCAAGATTTTATGTCTGTCTCTTTATATATATATATATATATATATATATATGTGTGTGTGTGTGTGTGTGTGTGTGTGTGTGTGTG